GCAGATTGCTTTGAACTTTTCTTTCTCAATCGGTATTCTTCGTTGCCACATAACTGTTTTTCAAAACTAGCTGAACTATTTCAAAAGCAGTTGGACCACAAGCTCTCACCACACCGAGGTAAAGGCACAGCAGATACAACTCTAGCTATTGATACGATTCTGTAATACTTATTTTGGCCAAATCTTCCCTGTCAGATTTCCTTACAGGATCAGGCATGGAAGAGAACAGTAAACACTGGCAGAATTCCAACCGGATTTTCTGCATTGGATGATTAGGTGATTAGCTCCGTGGTTCTTTTTTATGTATCTCCACAAGTTAAGTTTCCCAACGCAGACATAGCAGCTTTAAAAAGTCCAGCCAGGATTAAGCCATTGATTGGACTACAGGCAATCCTCGGCTTACGACCGCAATTGAGGCTAAGTTTTCTACTAAGTGAGACTTTGGTTAAGGGAGTTTTGTCCCCATTTTACGACCTTTCTTGCCACCGTTGTTGACTGCAGTTGGTGAGTTAGTAACTCGGCTGTGAAGTGAATCTGGCTTCCCCCATTGACTTTGCTTGTCAGAAGGTCGTGACAGGGGAATCACATGACCTTGGGATACCGCAACGGTGTCATGGCCTTGGTAGAGTCGGACTCTGAGGGAGACGAGGAACAGCCGAGAGGGTGTGGAAGTGTGGCTCTGGAGGTTGAGGAGGAGGCTGGGGAAGGGCAGAGGCCAGCTGAACAGTCAGAGGAAGAACCAAGCCCATTGCCTCTTCATCCTAGGACACGTAGGGAGGAACGGAGAAGGAAACCACTTGGCTTACGAGAGAGGAAGCGGTCATGATCCCCCCTCATTGGTTGCCGCTGGGGAGAATAGTATATAAGAGAGACGGTTAAAACACAGCGTTGCCAGAAGCAAAGCATGTTTTATTCTGGGCTGAAGTTATCTTGGCTGGCATCCTTCCAACAGACGGTACCTTGTTATCTCCTTAAAATTGGTAATTACTTACCCTGGTTGTTGTGGAAATTCCTTCATTGTAGTTTCTTTTGGTTTTTTATTTCACTTCTATCTGCTCATTAAGTTTGGACTATATTGCTTTCTTTTGAAGACTATTTTTGAATAAGTTTTATCTCCAACTGCGAATTATTGAACAGTGGGGCCAAGATGGAAGCATTAAAGGACATTTATTTATGTTTTGGATTTTGTTACATTTGTGTTACACTCTGGGTCATCACAAATGGTCATAAATATGAACCAGTTGCCAAGCAGCTGAATTTTGATCACATGGCCATGGGGAGACTGGGAAGGTCATCATAGCTGTGAAGAACGGTCATAAGTCACATTTTTCAGTGTTGTTGTAACTTTGAACAGTCACTAATGAACTGTTGTAAGTCGAAGACTACCTGTAGTTTAGCACACACACTGGAAGGTAAGCCCAGAACATGAAGAATGGAGTAACAACTAGGTCCCGTCACCACATCCCAACTATTTTTAATGCAGTTTAGTTTTATCCACTACATACAGTATAAGTTAAACTGCATCCTTCAAATAAAAGCACAATGTATTTTTTAAAAATCACTGTAATGGCAAAAACAGCATAGACATTCCATACCAGTCCTAGTTAGAGGGAAAACACAAAGTTAACATGCTTGAAATTTGGAAAAGACCTTCTCTTTACATTGAAATGGTATCACCAATCAGTACTAGGCAAATGTCTACTCAACACTATCATTTTCTTAGTTTGTTCTCTTTCTTATCAGCGATGGCAAAACAATGAAAGGAAATCACCATTATTCAGCATTGTGTTTACACAAAAAGCCAATGCAGTTATATAGTACCAACCAAGTGTAACTGATACCAGCCCTTCCTGGTACCCTCCACATCTTTTAACATTACACACCTTGATCTTCTGAGCCACTTATAGCCAATGGCTACACTGGTTAGAAATTATGGGCTTTACTATCTGACCCATTAGGGATTTTTGTTTTAATATTAGTTGCAACACTTCATTGTGTATAACTTGAGGCTAGCAGCTCATGGGGGACAGAGGCTTAGTTATCTTTTCCCAGAGTGAATCACACCTGGTATATCAGGCATAGCTAATAGAAGGGCTCCTGTTTGTTTAGTCTTTTGCAATAAAGGTAGACTACTTGTATCCTTCATCCAATCGAAGTAGGGAAGGCAATCTAACTCCCTCCAGATGTAGTTTTACGCTCATCATTCCTCACAATATCCACAGGGCTGATAAGAATGTAAATCGAAAAACTGGTGTATGAAAGAAGAGCAACAAGGATGATTATGGAGGGTGGAAGGCTAAAAGATATGAAGAACGGTTGCAGGAATTGGGTTTGTCTCGCCTAGTGAAAAGAAGGATTAAGAAAGACTAGCAGTGTTACTCACTGGAGAAGAGCCTAATGCTGGGAACAATTGAGGGCAAAAGAAGAAGGGGACGTCAGAGAATGAGGTGGCTGGATGGAGTCATTGAAGCAGTCGGCCTGAGCTTAAATGTATTCCGGGGAATCGTAGAGGACAGGAAGGCCTGGAGGAATATTGTCCATGGGGTCGCCATAGGTCGGACATGATTTCACAACTAACAACAACAACAACAAGCAGTGTTCCAATGCCTAGGGGGCTACCACAAAGAAGAGGAGGCCACCCTATTTCGAAAGCACCAGAAGGCAGACAAGAATCAATGGATGGAAACTAATCAAGGAGAGAACCGACCTAGAATTAAGGAGAAATTTCCTCACAGTGAGGACAATTAACCAGTGGAATGGCTTGCCTTCAGAAGTTGCGGGTGGTTCACCACTGGAGGCTTTTAAGAAAAGACTGGAGAACCATTTGTCTGGAATGGTAGAGTCTCTTGCTTGGGCAGGGCATTGGACTAGAACAGGGGTCTCCAACCTTGACAACTAAGACTTGTGGACTTCAACTCAAAAGTTGGCTCAGGAATTCTAGAAGTTGAAGCCCCCAAGTCTTCAAACTGCCAAGGTTGAAGACCCCTGGACTAGAAGACCCCCAAAGTCCCTTCCAACTCTGTTAATTCTGTTCTCTTCCTAGGGAGAGTTGGAGGGGACTTGGATAAACGAATACTCTACCTGCTCCCTAATAACAGCCAAGTAGTGTACTCTGAGGTTAACACAAGGGAAAAATGTTTACTTCCTCTCTACTGGATTATATTATGTAGGGGTATATTATGAAGACTGTAGGATATGGATTTCTACTTGCGGACCAAAGCTGAGCACTGCCTTATCTCAACAGGAATGTAGAATATCACCTTGGCAGCTAAATATAACATGATCAATGGCAATGGTAGTTCCTTAGCACTAATGAAAGAATAAATTTAAAAATGATACAGAAGGGGGATTGAAGACAATTAATCTTTCTCTGGTTAAGAGAAAGAAAAGCTACTATTCAGCAAAGTGAGAATGCTGTATCAATACTTCTTAGCAACTTAAGGATTGATAATATTGCATCTGTTACATGTTGTTCAGTTGGACCAGTAATACTGTTGGAAGATCTAGTGGCAAACACTTGCAATGGCACCTTCCATAAGCCTTTGTTCCAGAGTAAGTAGCACTAGAAACCAAGGTGTGATCAGAATGAAATCTAAATAATCCCTAGAAATCTTAGCTGCAACTTTTGACAGCGGTTAAAAGCATCAACTTTTGATTTCAACATCAGAAAAAGCATCCCCAACTGATCTCAAGACTGTCAATCTGAATGCAATAGGAGCACATGGAACTGAAGGAAAACGTTTTATATTTGATGGACCCCCCCAAAAAAATAAAGTCATACAATTTAGTAACCTAGGGAACAGCATGAAATTAGGCAAGACCTCTTTTGATGTTGTCTTGATCAAACAGATTCATCAGGTATGTATGCTCTTCCCAAGAGTTCCTTAAGAGCGAGGTTGAAGAAGATAGAAGATGGTGTGTTTATTACATTTTAAAATAAACTCAAAATACAAGCAAGATAAAGACTTCAAGAAGCTGGGCCAATCTATCCTATCAAGAACGCTGAATATCCAGAGAGTTTATGCATCAACAACTCTAGGGCGGTTAGTTCTTTCTCATTTCGTTCCATGGCCTCCTAGATTTGACTATTGCAATGTTCATACACTAACCACAATTCTACACGTTTTCTTTGAGACGTCCACAACCCTGGGTTAGAAGAAGAGAATGAATACCAGTGAGGTGGATGAACTTGATTGCAATAATGATGAGTATTCTGTTGTCAACCCTGAAAGGCTAGGTTGGGAATGGATTATTGTGGGGAAAGTCTATCTATGTGGCTGTTAAGAATGATTTCTGATTTGATGGCACATAATCAATCAATGCAAAATATAACTGGAGCAGAAGAATCTGTCTTAAACAATGTCACAACCTTTTTTGAAAAATATGTTCAGGGTAATGCCAGTCATGCAAACATGTCATTTCATAGAGGACAGACCTATATTTTTGCTGGTTCTCTCTCCTCTTCCCTCTCAAATAACTATGGATGCCACATCAATATCCAAAAGACAGACACTGCCCATTTTATTACTTTGTTTCACTGCACTGTCAGGTTGTTTGTGGTGCCAGTGTGGACTCAGTGATCCATAGTGGCCTTAGCGTGAAAGATGTGTGTGCGCAAGCACACACACACAAAGACAGAAAGATAGAGAGAGAAAACAGAGAGGGAGAGAGGGAGGGAGAGGGAAAGGGAGAGAGGGAGGGAGAGAGGGAGGGAGAAAGAGAAAGATAGACGGAGGGAGGGAAGGAAGGAAAGAAAGAAGGAAAGGAAGGAAGGAGGGAGGGAGGAAGGTTCAGTTTAAAGGTAATAGAGAGTCATGTTGTCTGATTAGTTTGGGCTTAGAGCATTGCACAAATCCATCCATTTTTTATTATCAACTGGGCCACTGTCATTCATTTAACACACTAAGATTAAAAATCTTGGCACACTGAGGCTGTGAATGCAACCATAATATTCAACACTACTTTGACTTACAAACCAAAATAATGCGGAACACGTTTACCTTCTAACATTTCCCCAGCTCCTTTAGGATACGTAAAAAGGGCTTTCTGTGGCGTGGCGAGATCTGAGACACTAAATCCAGATCCAGTCATAGAACTTCCACTCACTCCACCAGCTGATGATGACGAAGTAGAAGCTGCCATCCTGCCTCCCTTGAACCTGAATGTAGGAGAAAGAGAATCAAAGCTTAGCTAGGTAGATTCCACCACAATACAACTGTCAATTACTCAAAGAATATTTGCATTTCTAGTAGGGCTTACATTTTAAAAAAAAATTACACTGAGTACAGATTCAAATGTGCTTGAACTAGCAGTTTTCAAATCAAGAGTTCCTAGCATTTCTGCACTGGTAAACACATCTGGAATTTTGAGATAGAAGCTTTACTTTAGTTTAGTTTATTGTCACTGCACCTCATGCAATGAAATCAAATACCATCTTCAGTGCACATCATCACCATGAAAATAAACACAGCTATAGCTTCTATCAGAAAATGATCACTAATATGAGACTGGCCAATTACAAAAGTCCCACTTAACATAAGGAACATTAGCAAAGTTCCCTCATATCATCTTACAATAGCCATGTTTTTGGGTTACAACCTTTTATATCATTTTCATTTTCAATGAATGTCTTTGTGGCAAATATAAACCTCAGAAAACATTTTTGTAAATAAAGTTTGAAGTTGCATGCTGGCTCCCCATTTAATTTTTTAAATATTTTACTCCATAATGCCTATATTGCTATTTAGTTGGCATCTGTTGAAGGAATCAATAAAGGGACTTGAATTTCACATGGCTATGTTCAAAGATGACAGTTCGCCTGAATGATCACAGGTTAGACATTATCAAATTTTTAATAGGTATTATTTAGGATAAAGCATCAAGTAAATCAAGTCTCTTTTAACAGGGGAGAAAGGTAATGTATCCCTTAAACTAACTAACTTGTAATCAAACTAACTTGTAATCAAATGATTTAATTCAATTTTTTTACTTGGAAGAGCATTGACATATTTGCATCAGATTCCGCTCTGTCCAAATAGCTAATTAAATTATAAAATCTGTTTCTAATTTTAAAAAATCATGTAATTTAGATGCTTGCATTATTAGACAGGATGAGGAAATATTAAAAGGAAATTTGAGACATTAGCCCCAATTTGCAGTAAAGCTGTTTAAACTAACACATCAACCTACGCTATCAAAATTAGGTGAAATACATCCAACACTTAGGTTTCCCTTTGGGCCAGGATTAACAAAGTGTTTGGTTGCAGAGATTATATAAGTGTTTCTCCTATCTAGGTAAAATCCAGGAATAAAATTATGGAGGCTAATTTGATGATTTTGGCATGGAGAAAGCTTGTTTTTATTGAAGTAGACTTGCTTCCTAACTGGGGCTGGATATCTGAATGTGTCAGGGAATTGCGTACCCTACAGTCCAAATGAAGTCAAAGACACTGACACGAACCTGCAGCTTTATATAAATAAATCTATTTAACATTTATATTTACAGCAGACAACAGTGTCAGGAACATAGGAACATCAAGAGGTAAATCCAGACAAACTCCCCCTTTATATTCACAGCAACCAATCATAGCGTAGATTGCCTCATGCGTGAGCTAGCATTCTCCAATCAATCAACTACAACTGTGTGTTCTGGCACATTGTACATTTTACTGTTCTAGCTACTAAATTTAATAGCTTAACACAGGGTTGTCAAACTCAAGGCCGATGGGGCTGCCTTGGAAACAATGAAAGACCGGCCTGCGGTGCCTCTGCCAGCAAAAATGGAGCTTGGGAGGGCTGTGTGTGGCCCTCACGAGCTCCATTTTGGCCGGCAGAGGGTTGCAGGAGGTTGTCGCAGCTGAAAATGGAGATTGGGGGCCCCTTTTCGCTGGCAGAGGGCTCGGGCCATCACAGGCCTCCCCAACATGAACGACATCAAGCTGGCCATACCCCTCCTGGTCAGGCCCACCCCACCCCCCTAAGGTCAAACACAACCCTGATGAGGCCCTCAATGAAATTGAATTTGACACCCCTGGCCTAACAGAACGAGAGATCAAGAAAATATTAAGTCCTTACTTAGGATAGACTTAAAATAAAAAACACAGAAGAAAGCTAACTAATTCCATACCCTTGCTGAGAAAACAATATGGAAATGTCCACAACAAGGTCATGGGGAGTCAAAACAACTTGACAATTTTGATTAGGAATCAGAAATATTGTATCCTGTAAAACCAGAAGTTAGCTTCTGCAAACCAGCAAAGAGCCTCCCCTGGGTGGGGAAGACAGCTGGATTGCTGAAAACATTTTTTGGTTATAAAATATACACAACATGTGGAAAAGTCATGAGACAATTGAATCAAGTTCCCACTGTTTTTCAGTGCAGAAGGTTTCGTAATACGAAACGTTTAAACCAACTAACCAAGGTCACGCTCCTATAAAACCCAATTTTATACAGCTATTATAGTTTTGCAATTTCCTCCAACAGAAATAGATGCTACACTAACAGAAATGAATTAGTCCAGGATGTGGCCTAATATCTTTGTAGTGACATATTACAAATGCTAGCATTTGCTATAATAAATAATTAACCGGGAGGAGGGCTCACAAAGCCCTCCCAAATTAGTAAAAAAATTAAATCAGTAAATCCAAAGCACCTTTCACTCTTGCTTCCAGATAGCCAATCTAGAGTAACCTGCAGGGACATTTTTCGTCAGCCGATTACATCTATTATTTCAGGGCACTGGTAGCTTTTAACTGTACTTTATGTTAAATAATCAGGATAAATTTATTCCTCTAAAAATTAGCAAAAATTTGGTATGTTGTTTGTAAACTTTGCCCACAAATGGTTGCAAATAGAATAGAATAGAACAGAACAGAACAGAACAGAGTAGAGTAGCGTGGAACAGAACAGAAATATTAATTGGCCAAGTATGATGGACACACAAGGAATTTGTCTCTGATGCATAAACTCTCACTGTACATACATACAGCAAAGTAGAAACAACAAAGTGATAGATCATAGATCATAAAACATACTGTAGTTACAATCATTAATCACAGGGTACAAACAACACGTGATAAATCATTAGATACTAATAGGAGAAGATAATAGGAAAAATGAGAAGATGACAGAATGAGAAAGATGAGAAGATGGAAGGATAATAGCAATACAGCCTATTTACAGGAGTAAAAAACTTTCACCCTAAAACAGTACTGTGGAAATTAGGTGTTCAGCAGAAAGATGGCACGGGGAAAACCTGCCTTCGTGTCTAGTTATTTTGGCATGCAATGCTCTATAGCAGTGTCCTGAGGGGAGATGTTGATACAGATTATTCCAAGGATGCGAGGGGCCTGATTTAGTCATTCTTGTTGTGAGGAGATAGCTTTGTGTTGTTTATTTTATTGATTGTATTTATATTGGTCAATGGCCGAAATAAAATTCCATCTATCTGTCCTACAGTTTGCGGTGGAGTGTTACTTCTGGATCATTTTACACAATCATGTCAACAAGCCTGCCATGCAAGATAATATAGTTCATTATCCGAGGTCCCAGTGCATTTAGCACTATGCACGCTTGAAAAAGGAATGAGGGAAAAGACAGCACAGTAAATGGAGTGGATAAAGATGGATTGTGGTGTCGATTTTTTAAAAAAATGAAAACATTAGCACTGTCAGATAGAAAGGCACACAGGAAGTAAAGCACCTTTACAAAAGAAGCCACACACCATTGTGCCTTAAAGTTCAGGTTTCTTTAAGCTTATAAGACAAGAGGCAAAATGAATGAAAGCCGCACCTGTTTCTATGGGATTGGATGAAATAAACCTGTTGCATTATCCACTTTGAATACATGCCTAGGAATTTTTACCGGCTAGCAGGCAGATGCCGGGATATTTCCAGTTTCTAATTTTTCCTCCCTTTGTTCCATTTCCTGAGCTGGTCCACAGCTGCATTTATTTCCGATGGGCATTTTCACAGACAAATGCAATACAAAATGTATCCATTTGGTGGCATCCTGAACTCAGAAATCCTCTTCTTCAAATCTTGTAGCACGTCCTAATTCCCGATCAGTTTCAAATGGGGGCGATGTTATAAACATTCACCCTATTATCGTTGATATGGTTGCTTCCTGCGCTGTTTTAGTCTATTTATCCAAGCTCTCAACTGACAACAGCGTGATTGTTATCCTTATTTTTATTTTTTTGAGCTTTTTTTCAACATGAAGTAATATTTTGGAATGTGAGACACAAATAAGAAAAAAAAAAGAATGCAGTAAAATAGTAATGCTGTTCTTATGTCTGGTCTACTCGTCTATTGTTGGCATAAGAACATCACTGGAACTGAAAAATAATTTGCTATGATTAGGAAAGAAAAGTCATTTAGAGTTCTAACAGAAATCCCTGTCAACAGAGCTTTTCATTCCATGTACGAGTATAGGATATTGATATGTGCCTGAAAGGAAGATAAGGGAGGCAACTTAGATTAGCAGAATAGGCTTTAGAGAAAAATACGTAACTCCAGAGCCTTTTTTCTCCCACGACTGGGCACATTCCTCTTATGGAGGAAGACTCAGGGGAAACAACTTTCCCCCATTTCCTGCTTCACTACAGGTAGTCTTGTACCTGTATGACCCCAACTGGGGCTGGAATTTCCATTGCTAAGCAAGTCAATGGTTGTGTGATGACCCAGGGTGGGATACAAAATGAACACAGTCACAAAAACAAGTGAAGCCCCTTTTATTCCTTCACTTTGCTTAAAAGCTCCAAATATCCTTGACTGGAGACAAAAAAACTCCCCACAAGCAGTTACGAAAAGGAGGAAATGCCGTTTAAACTAAAAACGCCTATAAAATTATAAAGAGTAAAAACAACACAAACCACACTGAAGCAATTAAGGGAACCAGGCAAGATAAGGGCTTGAAGACGTCCACAGATATTGGAACACATACTGGGAAGGATGCCAAACTCAGAGAGGAACGACAGACTAGAGATATTTCCACGCTTTGTTTCAAGCAATGGCCCGTACTCATTCCGTCCTCTTATCCAGTTGTCACAGCTGCAGCCCATGAAGAGGATCAAGGCCCTTTCCTCCACCATAGACCATGCCATTCCCATCTCTCCATTATCCTCTCCTCCCCGTGTGCCCTAGGATGGAGAGAGGATGGGCCTGGGTCCTCCTCTGACTGCCCAGTCGGCCTCTGCCCTTCCCCAGCCTCCTCCACAACCTCCGGAGCCACACTTCCATTCCCTGTCAGCGGTTCCTCCCCTCCCTCAGAGTCAGTCTCCAACAAGGGCATGACAGGTTGTGAGACGAGCCCAATTTTAAGATTATTTTTTGTTTGCCATGATTGTTAAATGAACCGCTACCGTTATTCCCATTTGTTGGTATGGTTGTGGAAACAAGGTTTGTCTAGCTCAGGGGTGTCAAACTCGATTTCATTGAGAGCCATATCAGGGTTGTGTTTGATCTCGGGGGGGGGATGGGCGGGGGGGCAGGACCAGGATAGGCGTGGCCAGTTTGACGTCACTCATGCCAGGGGGCATCTGTGGTGGCCTGGACGGGGCTGGGGGGATCCTCCTACAGCCCGCTGCCAGCAAAAATGAAATCCGGGCCGGGCTCCATTTTTGCTGGTGGGAGGCACTGCGGGCCGGTTTGTTACTGTTTCTAGGTTGGTTCCGTGGGCCAGATCTAAGCATCCCCCGGGTCGGCCTCGGCCTGTGGGCCTTCAGTTTGACACCCCTGGTCTAGCCTATCAAAGAGAAGGATGAAGGGACATGATAACTATTTTCCAGTACTTAAGGGGGCTGTCCCAAAAAAGCGGGGGATAATAAATAATAAAGGCAGGATATAAGAAAATAAAAATAAATTCATAAACTTGAAATTAGAACCACAGCTATAGTAGATGTTCCCTTAAGGATTATTCAGCAGATTTACAAGAAGCTAATTCCAAAACAGTAGGGGTGTATATATGTGTCTGTATACACACATAAACACATATTCCAGTACCTTAAATACTAATAAATCTATTGTAGTCACTGTGAGTTTCAGGTACAACACAATGCATGCTTATTAGAAATTGGTAGTCAATACCTCATTGAAGTCATTCCTTCTCCCAAGAAAGCCTTGCTCAATCCACTAAGAAACAGAAAGTTCCAGCCATACTTCCCCTGTCCAGCTCCTTCAGCATTTCAAACAATCAAATGAAAACCAAAATAGCTGGATAATCTATAAAGAACCGAAGTGAAAGAGAATTAAATCCAAATTATGCTACTTTAGTTTCATTATTCAAAGAAATGATTGGTTCAGTTTCTAAGAACATATTTGGCATGAGTTTAGGGCTTCAAGAAATTACCATTTGCTTGCTTTCTACAAATTAAATTATTTAGGAAGGGAATGGAACAAGGATGCCTCTTCGCCTTATTGTTATTTTTTAATATCAGTTCCATAATGGGCTACTTGGACAAACTAAACTATCATCCCTATAATGATGAGCAAATAAACAAACAAAGTAGCCAGGACAACCACATACAAGATTGTTATTACCAATAACAACAAAATTAAGGAGAAGTGTGAAGGCCTTGAGTCTCTTATGAAGATTAATTATTTGCTTTACATTAACGAAAGTTAACCCAGAAATATTAATGGATACAGTTTGAACTGGTAGCACACTTTAAATATCCAGAGATGGTTTTACAATTCACAGAGAAATGAAGGGTCAGCTCAGTTTCTCAAAAGGCCTAGATGAGTACTGTATATCAGCTATAGTTTCTTTAAGCACCAGAAGCACTGAATATACATAATACAGGATTACTGAGACTGACTTATCTGAGGCCAGGTATTGTGACATCCCCCTTATGGCACTCAGTTAAACCAAATTCATTAGTTTGTATGAATTTGAGGAAGTTGGTTAGGCGAACTGTTGAGTCTGAAATGCATGAATATCTAAGTACTGAAATAAAAATGAACAATACGCATAATTATTTATAATTATTAGTTAAATCAACCATTTCTGCACAGGATTTAGCTTCTCTAATCTTGATAGACAGCCACTGGTTTCTACCCCAAGTTGCTATATATGATATACAATACAGTACCATGAGAAATAAAGCAAAAAACATTAAGACTTTTTCCAAGTAACAGAAAGAAGCAGGGCCAACTTCAAAACAGTCAACAGAGGAAGTGCTGTGGGTTGTTTTGTACACTTCTTGCTATATTTATCAAAACACCAGCTACTTTGTTACACTACCTCTTCAACTGTGCAAAATGCTTCATGGCCTTGGCAGGGATTTCTGAGTGAAGAACATGCCTCAAATTAATACGTCCCTCCACCAAAGTGTGTGGGTGTGCCTGTGTGTGTGTTGTGTCTCTTTTAATCTTTCCAGCATCACTGAACAAGCCAGGCTCATTTGCATTTTGACATCTTTGTGGGGTCACAATAGTGAAAGGATCAACTGTCATGCTGACTAGTTATAGCAGGGACCTTCAAACTTGACAGCTTTAAGACTTGTGGACTTCAGCTCCCAGAATTCCTCTTCCAGTCGTTAGCTCAGGAATTCTGGGAGCTGAAGTCCACAAACTTGCCAAGTTCGAAGACACTTGAGTTATAGGGTAGGCAGTGAGATCCATTACTGTGCCCATGTATTTCACTTATTACTAAATACATATTATCACCCAATAGATTTAGATAAAAAAGTAATTCCAGTGATTTGGGATTAGGCAGAATTTGTAGAATTGTTTGCAGTTTTGTCAGAACATACTTAAAGGTATAAAGGTATAATTACTGCACTCTGCTGCTTTAAGAACAAATGTTCTCACCCATGCTTATTTTTTGCCTAATTGGAGACTACAAAGGCATCAAAGGCTAACAAACCATGGACAAACCATTGGCACTGTAGCCAGCAAAAGGATGTTTTCTTTCTTCCAGCTTCGCTATCTTCTCCAAATCCTTCAGAATTTAGTATTGCCTTCGGAGGTTGTGGGTGCTTCATCACTGGAGGTTTTTTAAGAAGAGATTGGTCTGCCATTTGTCCAGAATAGTATGGGGGTCTCCTGATTGAGCAAGGGGTTGGACGAGAAGACCTCGAAGATCCCTTCCAACTCTATTTTTCCTCCTCAAATGATTGGAGAGGCATTTCCAAGCGACGGTGAATACATCTTACTTAATAGCAGGAAGGTCTTCAAAGAACAATACTTAGCGTGACCAGTTTTTCATATGTATACATATACATATGTATGTGTATATATGTATATATGTATGTATATGTGTGTGTGTGTGTGTGTGTGTGTGTGTGTGTGTGTGTAAAAAAAAGGACATGTTTGTGTAAATTTACCTGTTTATTCATGTTTAACCATAACGTTTTTCTCCTTGGCGAACTTACTAAAACAAATCAAAATCTAACAGTCTGTTTTTGAGTCTAGCCTTTCTCAAAAATCATAAAACGTGAGAATGGCTCTTCTTGACTATTCACTTAACAAGTATTTCCTATAGAATGATTTACTGTTGATGAATACTTTTCTTTTTTAAGAAAAAATAGCAGAATTCAGCACTGTTATTATAGCAGCTGACTCCCACAACAAGCAGTGTTTTCAGAGATGTTAATTCTTTTTGTCTTCACTCATCTGTCCAAATATTATTCATAATGAGAAATTTGTTTTACTGGCAAATACACAATAAATTTGGCAAGGAAGCCAATATTGTTAAAATAAATGCCCCCATGGCTGAAAGTCTGTTCCATTCTATTATGTTGTCTGCACAATATTTCTTTGTATATCAGATCATCGTTTGCTTCACTAGTTTTGTAATTGCAAACTGTAAAGATTGTTCTACCTTTTTCTTCCCAAACAAGGATCTTGTCTAGCAGGGTCCATGAGAATGTATTCATCTCACTGAGGTATCCACCTCCTACCCACCATTTCTTTGAGTAAGCAATACAGCTGTCTTAGAAAGAATGCATTCATTCCTAAAACCAAGTTGCTTGCTATGTATAGGAAGTGAGTTGGCCCGCAGCCCATAAAATACATGAGCTTTTAACCAACTTTTCTTTCAGGTTTTTAATTTGGATTCCACTGTCTATCACCCCAAGTGTTTCATTCTATAACTTCTATTGTGTTGTTGAACAGAAAAAAATTAGCTATGCAGGAAACAGGGCCAGATTTCACCCAAGAGGCGATTCAAGTACACAAAAATTGCCTTTGCCAATTTCTTCATTGAATTTGCAATCCTGGTGTTTTCACTATCAGCATAAATTCGAGGCTCTTTTTGTTTTAATACAGTTATCAATATCTGAGGCCAAATTGACAATTTTAATAGCAGAGAAGAATGTATCTAGTTTTGCCTCTAGTTGGAAACCACTTGTAGACTTTGTACTCAAAACTGAAAAAAAATAAAACTCTGATTTTAGGTTTTGAAAACGAGAATGATTATGTTGTTACAGAAATGGTTTGGAAGATTTAGAAAGGTAACAAAAAGATTGAGGTTAGAACTTTTTTTTTGTATTCTACTGCATCGAAAAAAGTCAGAAGTCACAGCTTTTTTTCTTCCTTTCTTTCTGTAGCTCTCTTAACTTGCATAATTTTTGTTTTCTGTTTGTATTTTATCTTATACCGGTACCACAATTGAGCCCAACATTTCTGCTATTAAGTGAAACATTTGTTAAGTGAGTTATGCTCCACTTTGCAACTTTTCTTGCACAGTTAATACACGGTTATTAAGCAAATCTGGATTCCCCATTGACTTTGCTTGTCAGAAGGTCACAAGAAAGTGATCACATGACCCCAAGACACTGCAACCGTCATAAATACGAATCAATTCCCAAGCACCTGAATTTTGATCATGTGACCATGGGGATGCTACAAGGGTCATAAGTGTGAAAAGCAATCATAAACCACTTTTTTCAATTCTATTTTAACTTTCAATGTTAAACAATTTTAAGTCAAAGACTACCTGTAATTAAATTTAATCAAGTATTATTTAATAACCAACATTTGACTTGCCACTGTAAATTTAAAAAAAATGTTTTGTAGGCCTTCTATAGGTATCCACTGAATGAATGGATCTAGGCGACCTCTTACTTTTTTTTAAACCACACTGCAGAACGTTTTGGTTATGGAGAACCAATTAAACACACATTTGAGAAGTACAAACTTAAGGGGAAAAAAGTTGTACTAATATTCTGAATTCAGTGTATTCTTGACTAGAGTTTAAACACTTAAACCAGGTGTCTTCAAACTTGACAGCTTTAAGACTTGTGGACTTCAACTCCCAGAATTCCTCCTCCAGTCATGTTAGCTCAGGAATTCTGGGAGTTGAAGTCTGCAAGTCTTAAACTTGACAAGTTTGAAGACCCTTGTCTTAAACCATTTTGTCCAGATAGGTATCTATCACAAAAGTTCAATTTCCTGATGCAGGTTCTAAGATATTGCAGTACTTGAACAGATGCATGGATGATGAACATAGAAATTATTGCCACTCAAAACATTTTGCATTCAGATGAGGCAAGATTTCTGCAATTTCTGTTGTTGCCATTTGATCGCCCGGTCAGGTTTGTGGGAATTGGAATATTTTTCAGTATAGAGGATGTGCCTGGTTCTTACACACAATTTAGTAGTCTAGAACTGGAATGTCTAATCATCCTTTCAGTAACAGAACTTTATCTGTAACCAGATGCAATACACTGGTTTGTAATCAGGAAGGATACCATTGGTACTTCCTTATCTTAAAATGCATGTTTTCTTGGTTCTGCATAGCCACCAGACTGTGGATCATATTCTTTGCTTTGGCTAGGAAGTCATGCTTATTCCAATTTACTACATTCTAAATTTTTCTAGGTCAACCATAAGCTAACAGTTACTTCTGGTTCAAAAATATGCAACATGTTGATTCCAAATATTGAAGTTCTTCTTATCCCATCAGTACTAACTAGCGTAACCAATAATGATAGTTTGAAATTCAACATTTGATCAATAAATTACCACCAATTCTAATGTAACAACAGCCCTTATATTTCCATCCAGCTTTATTAAAATGAGTGTCAACAGAATATAGTGGCTAATGTACTCAGTCAGCACTAGGGAGACCCTGGTTCAAATCCCCTCTCAGTTATCAAAGGTGAACTTGGGCCAGTCATTATCTCTTGAGCCACCCTTTGGCAGGGTTTATATGTGAAGGGATAAAGGTCTTTTCTTGTACTTAAATAGAAGTCCATGTTTTTTTTACAGCATGTGGACACTGTAAAAAAAGAGTACTACTGTCTATGAAATTACTTTCCCAAATTGAATAAAGGTTCCCCTTGCACATACGTGCTAGTTGTTTCCAGCTCTAGGAGGTGGTGCTAATTTACATTACAAAGCCAAAGAGCCAGCATTGTCCGAAGACGTCTCCGTGGTCATGTGGCCAGCATGACTAAACACTAAAGGTACATGGAATACTGTTACCTTCCCACCAAAGTGGTCCCTGTTTTTCTACTTGCATTTTTACATGCTTTCAAACTGCTAGGTTGGCAGAAGCTGGGACAGGAGCTCACTCCGTTACATGGTGCCAGGGATCCGAACCACCGAACTGCCCACCTTACTGATCCACAAGCTCAGCCTCTTAGCCGCTGAGCCACCGCATCCCTCAAATTGAATATATGTAGATTAATCTGCACCCCGTTCATAATTTAGTCAACATAATTTCTCCCCCTCCTTTCAACGAAGTATTTTCCAAAACACAGGCACAAGGGCAGCAACCAAAGAGTCCATCAAAAATTTTCAAACAAGGAGGCAAAAAGATCTGGAAGGTAGGAAAACATATGTAAACAGCAGGGAAAACTAGGTTTTCCTTCCAATACTACCCTTTTGCGGGCAATATGCTGACTCTGTAAACCGCTCAGAGAGGGCTGTTAAAACACTATGAAGCGGTATATAAGTCTAAGTGCTATTGCTATTATGTTAGAAAAAGCAAAAAAAAGGATGATTTTTTTTTCTTTTGGTAAACCTAATGAAATAACGCAACTGCTCAGTTGCACTTTTGCAAGGATAATGGACCAAAGGCAAACCCCAATCCTCCCCGCCGATCCAGTTCTACAGAGGAATTATTGAGTCTGTCATCTGCACCTCTATAACTGTCTGGTTTGGTTCTGCAACCCAACAGGACAAAGACTTCAGAGAGTAATTAGGACTGCAGAAAAAACAATTACTACCAGTCTGCCTTCAATCGAGGACCTGTATGCTGCCAAGTCAAAAAGAGGGCTGTGAAAATATTTACAGACCCCTCATATCTCGGACATAAACTGTTTCAACTCCAACCCTCAAAACGATGCTACAGAGCACTGCACACCAGAACAACTAGACACAAGGACAGTTTTTTCCTGAATGCCATCACTCTGCTAAACAAATAATTCCCTCAACGTTGTCCATTTACAAAGTCTGAACTACTATTACTATTACTCTTCTCATCACTCCTTATCACCCATCCCCTCCCGCTTGTGGCTGTATGACTGTAACTTTGTTGCTTGTATCCTTACGATTTATATTGTTTCCTAGTATGATTTAATTGCTTTTTGTACCCTATGACTATTAAGTGTTATTCCTTATGATTCTTGACGAATGTATCTTTTCTTTTGTGTATACTGAGAGCATTTGCACCAAGACAAATTCCTTGTGTCACACTTGGCCAATAAGGAATTCTATTCTATTCTATTCTATTCTATTCTATTCTATTCTATTCTATTCTATTCTATTCTACCCTACCCTACACCTACTCCTATTCTCAACCCGCATCACACCAGCCAACAACACACAACTGGTCGCTGATGTGCATCTGCTGCTCAAAAGCGAGGAACCCCGCCGAAGCAAGCAGCCGATTTTCGCTTCTGTTTTTTTTGCGCTGCAGCACCGCCCGACCAAGAAGAGGCAGAGAAGGAGACGAAAAGATTCGGGGGCAAAGGTAGCTTGTTACGATTACCAGGCGTCCAGATTATCCAGGACGATCCCGTCCTCCTCCGGCCGGTGGGGGATGGAGAAATATCGCGATAGGGTAGCTCTTAACAAGAGAAGGCGGGCGACTCGGAGGCGGAAGCCATTCAAATCCGACAGGAGTCAGACGCCAGTGACGCAGTCGCCACACAGGTCCGAACCCAAAGGGCGGTGCCTCTAGAGGTAGCTTGGGTCATAGAAGCGCGCCCTCTGCTGCCTCCTGATTGGTGCGGCAGAAAAGGGAGTGGCCAGAAAGCAAAAAAAAAAAAAAAAAAAAACCAACCAGGGGCCGATAGACCCATAACGCCGAGTTGGGGGAGGAAAGGTCGAGGGTCCGCTTTGGCCGCGGAGGCCCATTTCTCGCCTCAGATACCAGTTTAGTGGAAGAGAATTAGACTTTCTCACCACGAGCCCCAATCGAAGCAAGCACTGCCGCAGGGTATTTTGATTGTGTGTCCCAAACATTGGCTTTGGCGGCCAGATTTTCCGGGTCTCGACGGCAAACACCCTTTTCACTTGTACAAACACGGGTTAAAAGACTGCGATCGTCTGAATCGGGGGCTGGGTTTTTGCGATCCCGAGTCTTTGCTAGCGCACTTGTTTGCATTAATATTCTGCCCCTCCTCCTCCCTTCGCGCCCCAATCAGCAGGGCGAAGGGCTTCTTGTAATTGAGAAGCGCCGCGTTTGCTCCGGTTTGCCCATCCGGAGTGGGACCCACTTAGGGCAGCCGGATCTGAAGGGGCCAGTCTGTCAGCTAAGCATTAATCCCTCGACCGAGAGCTAATAAGGGAGGTAAGATCGGGACGGGCTGGAGTGGTTTAAACTGCAATGCGGTGTGAGTTTAGGGATCCAGATTGCTTGCTTTCCTTCCGTGGGGAAAAGATATTCTGAGCATACTGTACCACCTGCGGATGGAAAAAAGATCCGAATAAGAGACGTGGCATAGGTGAAATAAATTCATCCCCAATGGTGCCCCCCTAATGATCCTTTTCCATACATACAGAAAGAGATGGGGAAAGAGACTGACTTTCCTGATACCAAACTCTTGGGTCACTTCGCCCCCGTTTTTTATTTCGATGGACTTGATCATTGATTAAAAAACTAGAGCATTACCTGCTTACTATGCCTGCCCCCAAAACCTTGCTCCTGAATAATAATGACTTAATTAACTCATTGTCCATATTTGCACTAAGCACTGTCCCAAAAGTACCTTCTGGGTTTGTACAGCAAACTAATTATTTGGCTTACCATCTAGAGTTGCGGGATGTTGAGCAGCATATAAATTTAATAAGTTTATGGATGGTTGTTGCACAGTCAGTAAATTATTGTGATTTCAAACTTTTGTTTGCATAATAACTGCCCATTCTTTAGTTGATGTTGGCCTTCACATGCATCCAGTGCTTCCCAAGAACCTAAGATACGATGTCTTGGTACATAGGTGTAGATCCAAACACCATGGCCTTTTGTAATTGACAGAGGGAAATGCTGTCAATGCACATATTTTTTGTTAGTGCTATCCAAGATTTTTTGGTATGGCACCCAGTGTGCTGATAACCTCCAGAATTAAATTATTATCGTTGTTATGGTTAGCAGCACAGTTAGCCAATTGTTTAGACTTGGATTTTTATCTGCTTATCATGTCCTTCCCAATGACCTGGGATAGGCAGATGATGTTGTTCTTATTTTTATTAATATGTGGCTGTGTGCCATGCTGTGTGAACCTATGTTCACTAGAAGCATGCTTGCAGACTAGAAGCATGCCCAGATGAACTAGTTCTACTTTATGTTACAGTAAAAGAATTTTGAAAGTCTCATAAAGTAGATTTCTCCCTCTCCTATACAGCCCAAGACAATGGAGAAAGTTCTTGTTGAGATGTTTACTGTGTCCGATTTTTGTGTGGGATAAGCTGCCTCTTATCTAACCCAGTACCCTGGCTGTGGTTCTTCCCCCTCCCAAGGTTATTCCCATAAACCATTACAGCAGTCTTTGTAACTCCTCTCTTTTTAAGAAGTATAGGGGTAACAACAGGAATTTCATTACTAAAACTCTGATTCCTGCAACCTTTAACTGGGCAAAATGATGCACCATAGGGCAAGCTACTTTAAAACTAAAGTACTTCCAGTGGGCTAATCTGTATCTAAAATCCAGGATCCATGACTCCTTGGATTTGAAATCTGACAGATTGTATAAAACATTTAATGACATAAGCATTATCATAAAGCAGTTTATGACATAATGCAAAATGCTATAAAATATTTTCTGTGCTGATGTTTGACTGCTATACAGTTAAGCACGGGCTAAACAGTTTATGACATAATGCAAAATGTCACAAAACAATTTCTGTGCTGATGTTTGATTACAGTTTAACATGGGCTATTTTGATCCCAACTTTTGAAGTGAAAGCAGTATAGCAGAAACCCTGTCATTGTTAAAGGCCTTTGAAGCATCTGGTAAAGAAATATATCTGAAATGCCCAATTTGGACTTATTTGCTTGTTGATTTGAGAGAATGTTCTCATCCAAACAGCTTCTTCAATCTGAGTAGTAGGCGTCACTCAGTTCAGTTGCCGTCACTTCAGTTGCCCTCACTCAACTTCTGAACAATTCTACCTGGAAGAGTGAGAATCTTCACTGACATATTGCCACACACTTTGGGGAAGAAACCCTGAGGTGGTTGTGGGAATGCCCCTAAGAATTTTAGTAGTTGGCATGTTATACAATTCTCTGCCCACTCAGATTCTCCTGACCAAATTGTTCAGATTGAAGAAGTTGTTTGGATGGGCAACGAAACATGGTAAACCAACAAGAAAATAAGACCAGTTGCTGTGACTCAATGCCAGATAGCTCTGAAATGTTAATCCCAATGAAGCACAGGTTTCCTAGTTATTAGTAATTTTTGATTAAGCATCATGCTGGGTAAATGTAGCTATAAAGCAGATGTTGTAAGGTCTTCTTTTGAGAAAGATGGGTAACTGCAGAAGAATTGCCTTGCAATATGCAGTTCTGTGTTTTTTCTCCAGTGGGACCAGTCTAGAAGGGCAACCTGGTCTACTTAATTATGAGACAGAACATACTGCTTCCATTTTCACCTTTCAGCCCCAATCCAAGGTCCTTTGCAGGCAGTCGGTTTTGTGACAAACTGTTGTTGTGTTAAATTTATGTTTTACCGACAAAGAAATAAAGGGAGATTAGTATAGATCTGTTTCAAGCAATTTAACTTTCATCAGCTAGCCATACCCTTATGGGATTTGAACCTGGGCTGCTTACCTATTAGGTAGATGTATTAACCCCTGAGCCACAGGTTCTCCTCATTTTGTTGGATATACCAGGGGAGAGACTTAATACATCTACCTAATATGCCCAGGGTAAGCAGCCTGGGTTCGAATCCCATAAGGGTATGAGCTAGCAGCTAGCTGATGAGAGCTAAATAGCTTGAAGTGGATCTATACTAGTGTCCCTTTATTTCTTTGTCAGTAAATTTAGTCCTATGTTTGGTTTCTAAACACAATGACTGATTCCTAAGTTGCCTCTGAAATCTCAAAAAGCAGAATATAAAGGTAATGACCTCCCTCAGTTATGTTTTTCTAACATCTACGGTAGTAACTACCCAGCAATGCTGTTGACTCCATTCATCCATATTCTGCTTGGGCAATATGGTTAAGAGGTATATTGAAAATTCTGATGTTTTGCAAATAAGTGGAATATATACCAGGTCTTTGAATTGTGACCCTTATATATGAATTGATCCTTCGTGTTGCTTTCTGGGAAACTCAGTCCTTTGTTCAATCTCCTTTTCTTCCCAAAATATTTGTTTACAAATCATAATGTTTTGCCCTTGCTTACTAGGCAAAACTTTCAAGAAATAATAAGCTCGCCTAACATCAGATGGTCATGGTGGATTTGCTGTTTTGCAATATATGCAAGACCGTGACTTCAGATTGCCTTTCTCTTATTTCTAATACAATCATCAAACATTTTGCAGTTCTCAGTAATTTAGCAATTTTGCCTGGCACCATATTTTCTTAATCTTGCATGAAATAAGTATATACCGAAATATCCTATTAAAGAACTATTGGAAAGAACAGGATCATTATGCTGTTTGGCACCTAGATCAGCTTTCCCTAGTATCCTGCTGATTTTAGATTTGGAAATTTAAATCCAATATATTTGGAGGTCATCAGGATGGAGAACACTGTCTTAATATATACGTTTCTTTCTCTTTTTTCCCCCACTGTCTCATGTATTTTATGTTGTTCACAAACGTAATTTAGGCAGCTTTCAGTTTTTGTTTAAATTGATCCAGATAACCAGCACCAATAGTTTTAGTTAAACTAGGAAGATAAAGGAGCTGAACGGCTCTGTTAAGATGCGGTATCTTTCTGGTTGTGATCGTGATAATGAAATGGCATCTTTCTTTGTTTCTGAGGTTGCTAATAATGCCTGACCAAAGTTGGTGCAGTGCTGATTTAATAGAATAACAGAGTTGGAAAGGAATGTTGGTGGTCTTCTAGTCCAAACCCCTACTTAGGTAGGAAGCCCTATACCAGCGGTGGCTAACCTTTTGGGGCTTCTGTGCCGAAAATTGCGCGTGCAAAGGCAATGTGCCCCACCGCCCCTGTGCACGCACGTGCAACACCTCCCTGCACCCTCTTACCTGCACTGCACATGCACGTGCCTCCCAACTGATTTTCGGCCCATTTGAGGCAGTTTTTGGCCTCCCTAAGGCTTGAGGAAAGCCTCTGCAGCCTCAGGAGGCCGAAAAACAGGCCTTCCGGAAATACCAGACGTGCCGAAACAGGCCTGTTTTTTGGCCCCCAAAGGCTGCAGAGGCTTCCCTTGAGCGCCCGGGAGGGCGAAAATGGCCTCCCCCAGGCTCCAGAGACCCTCCAGAGGCTGAAAACGGGCACTTCCGGTATTTCCAGAAGGTCCATTTTTCGGCCTCCTGAGGCTGCAGAGGCTTCCCTCGAGCCTCAGGAAGGCCGAAAACTGCCTCAAATGGGCCGAAAATCAGCTGGGAGGCGTGCGCATGAACAGTGCAGGTAAGTTTGGCTGGGGCTCACGTGCCCACACAAATGACTCTGTGTGCCACCTGTGGTACGCATGCCATAGCTTCACCATCACGGTGCTATACCATTTCAGATAAATGCCCAATCTCTTCTTAAAAACTTTCATTGTTGGACTACCCACAAGTTCTGGAGGCAAGTCATTCTATTGATGAATTGTTCTAATGGTCAGGAAATTTCTTCTTATTTCTAGGTTGGTTCTCTCCTTGGTTAGTTTCCATCCATTGCTTCTTGTCCTGCCTTCAGGTGCTTTGGAGAATAGAATTGATCCCCCTCTTCTTTGTGGCAGCCTCTTAGATATTGGAGCACTGCTATCATGTCAACCCTAGTCTAGCAGGACTCTTTTCTCATCGTGAAAAAATAATTCTCTCCATGACTGAGGAAAATGTAAATATACGTGACATTAGGTATTGGAAGGTTACATCCAAATAGCTGGATCCAGAAAGATATAATTTCAGCTTCCTATTCTCTACAGAGGACATCTCTGAACTATTTTTTGATATATTAGTGTTAATATTGTGATGAATAAGAAACTGAAGAGATAAGGCACAATTTATTTTATTTTTCTTTCAGCCAAGTACAGATAAAGAATCATGGAGGTGCTACGGCCAGTACTGATAAGAATTGATGGGCGTGTTTATAGGAAAAACTTTACTCGAGAGCAAGCTCATCAACAGGAAGAAGAGGAAGATTTTAATACAGGTATAATCACTGCTCTGCAGGATCCCTTCATTTTTGTTTATATCTTGTTTTACCCCCAAATGGAAATCTGAAGAGACTGCCATAATGCAAAAGGCAAGGTGAAAAATTATAAAATGTCCATAGTTTCTACAGTATTTGATTATTTAAGAAAACATTCATCTAGCTAGTAAATAATATTGCATAAACATAACATAAAATAACACATTGGATAATAATATACAATAATATAGGTTGGCAGAAGCTGGGACAAGGAACGGAAGCTCACTCTGTTACTGCGGTGCTAGGGATTCGAACCGCCAAACTGCCAACCTTTCTGATCGACAAGCTCAGCGTCTTAGCCGCTGAGCCACCACGTCCCTTATAATAAACATAAGGATATAAAATTCTAAATCAACAGTTCGCACATCATACTACCCAAGAATCACAGTTAGCTGGCTTCAAATTTTGTGCTATTTCATAAACAAAAGGTTAGTAGGTGGAATTGTTTGTTTTACTAAGTCATAGGACACAGAACATCATCAGAGTTAGAGAGGAGCTTGAGGGTCTTTTAGTTCAACCCCCTAGTCCAGCAGGACACCCTATACCAGTGGTGGCTAACCTTTTTCGGCTCCCATGCTGATAATTGTGTGCGCGCTCGCCAGCACCCAGAAGGCAATGCGTGCTGGGCCCCCCCACACCCTCTGTGCATGCGTGCAACCCCCCATTCCCCCTGTGCATGCGTACACAACACCCCCTTATGTATCTGCCCATGTGCAGTTGATTCCCCCTCGCGCGCCATGCATATGTGAGTGATTTCCCCTTGTGTGTTTGCGTCTCTGCGCAGGCACACGTGATTCCCTCCCTCACATGCCGTGCATCTTTGCACATGCATGCGTGATTCCTTGTGTGCCCCACGTTTGCACATGGGCACCCGATTCCCCCTTGTGCGCAGCACGTCTGCGCATGCACATATGTCTTTCGTGCACCCTCCTCCGCCCCCCTGCGCATGTGCGCCAGATACCCGACAATCAGCTGTCGGGCGGCGGCATATGCATGCACAGTGCGGCTCTTCTGGGTGACCTCTCACGTGCGGGGGGAAATGGCTCTCCGAGCCACTTCTGGCACGCGTGGCATAGGTTTGCCAACATGTCCCTATACCATTTCAGAAAAATGGCTGTTCAGTCTCTTTTTTAAATAAACAGCTTCTGAAGGCAAGCCGTTCCACCGATTCATTGTTCTCGCTGTCAGAAATTTCTCCTTAGTTCTAGGATGTTTCTCTCTTTGGTTAGTTTCAGTCCATTGTTTCTTGTCCTGCCTTCTGGTGTTGGGGAAAATAGGTTGATCTCTTTTTTGTGGCAGTCCCTCAGATGTTGGAACACTAGCTCAATAGCCGTGTTTCGCTCTGAAACTATGTGGTCACGCTTAGATTTTGTGGAAGAAAATAAGGCGGAAAAATTTTGCCTCTGCCTACCAGCATCCATTGGTATTCATCTGGCTAGCATCCTGTCAGTGTGTGAGAGAGTTGAGAGCTGTTTGGAAACTGAAACAGTATTTTTTGTGCGAGCAAGGAGACAGCAAGGCGCCTGGGCGTGGCTTAGCTCAGCTGTTCTGTACTAAAGCTGCTTGCTGCTGTAAAACTAAAACTGAAACTCCTCTCCTCTGCTTGTGTTTTGCATTTGGAACAGATTTCTTTTCAGGTGGGGAGGGGGAGTAGAACTCCTTAACATCAGAGCATGTTAATAATAATAATAATAATATACAAAATACTAATGTTCTGATGGTCATTTCAAAAAATCCTTTTTAGTGAGCACCTAGAAGCCAAGAGGAACATACGTGTCAAATTTCAAATGCGTAGGCTTTACGGTTCTGGAGATATTGTGATGATGCGTGAGTGGTATTTCGCTTTTATATACATAGATTGCTATCAAGTTCTTCTTTAAGCATAAGAGGCTCAAGGAGGTGAGGTTCAAGGAGGTGGAAAAGTCCAAATTTAGAAGGAGTTTCCAACTTAGAATTGGAATGCCAAAGGACAGAGAGTAACTGATTCAAAGAAGATCAAACGAAAATGGAAGGGATGTAGTGAAATTCTGGGCAATAAAAGTGTCAATATCTAACATACGTTAAGAAAATATGTGTCAAGCACCAGATAAATCAGGAGAGCCAGGCAGTTCAAATAGATAGAAAGACTTATTGCAAGATTAAGCTCCCTACAAGAATCCGAACTACTGGTGGTCAAAGCATTTCCTGAGTAGTTCAGGAATTCCAGAATAGGAATTCCAGGTGGGCTGGACTTAGATCTCTTGTGAGCATGAAGGGACTCACAACTGATGACATGCTTTACCCTTCCCTCAGGCTCATCCTGGTCATATCCTACAATCTTCCCTGCTTACTTCTGGTACTAGAAGATGACATTATATCAGTACTGCATTCATTACCAGATCAAAAGACTGCATGAATTGATGGAATATCTTCAGGAGTATGACAAATAACAGAAGAGTCAATAAACGTTCTATTGTAAACCATGCTAGCAAATCCAGAAAAATGACACAAAGGCCAACAGATCATACGAGTTCACTCTACATACCAATACCGAATAAAGGGGATGGAATGGAGAGAATGCAAACTCTTCTAACAGTATACTTAAATTTCGCGTGCTGGCAGAATATTAAAATAAGGATTATTAACCTTGTCTACAGTTTGTTTACTTAGTTATGTATACATGTATGTATGTATTTCAAGACCCACCGCCAACATTCTGTAAATTGTCAAGTGTTTTAGAAATGCATTATATCTAAGGAAAAGTTATTTCCCTGTAACTTATCTGCTGAATTGCTATTGAATCAACGTAATACAGGCGGTTTTCACATATGCAGGGTTTGGAAGAGGATTTGTTTTTTTTTCTGGTTGGTAGAAGAGAATAATTGCTGTGTTTTCTTTTTCAGCTGAGAATATTGACTATGACAATGAGAATCACTTTGCTTCCAATTGTCAGCTTTCAGAGACCGCATCTGCATCCTCTATTCTTTTATGCTTTCTTAAATAGACATTTGCATCCGTGGCAGAATCCACTGAAAAGGTTCCCACAGACTTCTTTTGCAGCTTGTGTTTGAAAGCAGATTAAAACAAAACACTGTTTGATTCACCACAGCAGCTGTTTATTGCCCCTTAACTGGGGTTTCTTTTTTTCTTTCGTTATCTGAGAGATGAGATGGGCTGGGCCATCTTGGTAAGTGACTTATTATGGGCTCGTGTTTTATAGGTCTTGGAGATGGCTCAGACGAACCCTGTGACGCATTTGCAGTGGAAGAGACAGAAAGAGGATACCAATGCGCTATGGACATTCCTAGTCCACTGTATAAGTGAGTTTGAGGGAATATAATCCCAAGAACGGCATGCAGATGTGTATCCCCTGCTCTAATAGCAATGTCAGGATTCCCCAGCAATCACCCTAATTAAATCATGAGTCTCGAGCCAAACTTCAAAAAACTTCAAAGGATTTATTAGAGGCGACACACTGGCATGACCTGTATGAAGCCAACTCTGGCATACGTAATTTACCGCCACTTTTGACCCTGTTTCCCCCTCCCCACGTGTGTGTCTATAAATCAGATTCTCCAATTAAACACGTTCATGGGCTGGGTGTCATCAAACACATTCTCCAATTAAATATATTTGTGGGCAAAAGCTCTGGTAGTTTAGTTACAATCTTTTAAAGAGAAGTGTTGGAATGTACTTCTGATTTCAAACTGCTGCACTGCTCTTCCAGATTTCCTTCCTCCCTCCCCCACTTTTTAAATGGCAACTACTAAAACAGGCATAGGCATGTTTTATGAGTTGACATTTAGACTTACATACCGCTTCACAGTGCTTTACAGCCCTCTCTGAGTGATTTACAGAGTCAGCATATTGCCCCCATCAATCTGGGTCCTCATTTTACCAACCTTGGAAAGATGGAAGGCTGAGTCAACCTTGAGCCACTGAGATTCGATCTGCCAAATTGCAGTCAGCAGAAGTAGCCTGCACTACTGCATTCTAACCACAATGCCACTGCGGCTCTAATGTTGACAGAAATTCCTTCTCTACCTATGCAAAGATGATCAAGGCTAACAATTCAGTCTCATAGAGTCCTGGCGGCTCAGTGGTTAGAATGCATTATTGCATTATTGCTAACTCACTGCTCACTGGTAGGGCGTTCGATTCTGATCCGGTCAAAGTTGACTCAACCTTCCATCCTTCCGAGGTCAGTAAAAGGAGGACCCAGATTGTTGGAGGCAAGATACTGACATTGTAAACCGCTTAGAGAAGGCTGCAAAGCACTATGGAGCGGTATATAAGTCTAATGTTATTGCTAGTGCTGTTGCTTATATAAGGATGTGGGAAAATGTTGCAAGCCTGGAATGAACTGCAAGTATTATTGGACTGCTTCAGAAGACTTGGTATGTGTTGGAATAGCCCAGTGGTGGCTAACCTTTTTGGGCTCCCGTGCCGAAAATTGCGTGCATGCTCATGCGCATGCGATCATGTGCCAGACCTAGAAGGTAATGCGTGTGGGGCTCCTACGCCCCTGTGCATATGCACGTGTACCCCCGTGCGCGCCACATGTCTGCGCATGCACGCGAGACCCACACACCACCATTCCTTGCGCATTTGTGCCAGATACCCGACAATCAGCTGTTGGGCGGGTGGTGCACGTGCATGCACAGTGGGGCTCTTCCGGGCGACCACTTCCAGCATGCATGCCATAGGTTCGCCATCACGGGAATATCCCATTTTGAGGTGTGAATGGTTCATTTCAGTTATAAATGTTCCATAAGGGAATGTTCTGAATGATTCCAGTTCTATACTTATCTCTTAAGCAAGTTCCAGTGAGAACCTTGCATGTCACAGTAAAACCAAGTTCTTGCTTATTCACAAACCAGCATTCTGTTTACAGTTACTTTTTCTGCCCTTGTGGAGTGGCTAAACCAATCACAAATGCCATTTTCCTCCTGGTTTGTTTTTTGCAAAGTGCTAATTGTAACTTCCAGCCCTGGTTTGCATGTAACGATAATGTTTGGCCACTTCTATATCAAGGGAAGCCCTGGGAGAGTGATCAGAGAGGATGTGCTAGCAAGCTTGCTTCCTTCTAATCAAGTTACAATAATGGAAATTGTTGTTATTTTACGGAGTACAGCCACAGCATTCAGTGGGGCTTATATTTAGGAAGAAGATGATAGGATTGCAACCTAAAATGCATTTAGCATCATCTTCTTTTCATGTTACTCTTACTAGGAAATTCAGAAAAAAAAGCTTAAGTGGCTGGTTTTAACAGATAAGTGCACTATAACATTTTTTAAAATGCTTTAGCTTGTTTGATTTGGCCTTCGTTCCAAACCACTTGGGCAGCTTTGGACTGCTTAATTTGATGTAGCTTCCATCTAATTTTGACCATCATTTCTCACTGCGGTTCTTTGGAGTTCTTTGTTGACGATTATGAGCGTCACAATGAAAACTTGTTGCAACTCACTTATAATCACCTGCCTTTCCTTGCACCACTCCCCAAAGTCTACATGCAGCAACCACCATTTGGGAATGGGCAGCTTGAGACTACAGAAGACATACCCTTGGTCAACAGTCAAGAGTTTACATGGGATCTTGTAGCGAGATTAAGGATAAGCAATCACACTACAGGCCGAGACAGCACACAAATATTTTTTTGTTAACTCCCTGGTTTTATTAAGACAATAAAGCCAAGTCTTACCTAAGCATTTTCCTCACATACATACACACACCTTTTTTCTCTCAGTAAAATGCTACCTCGAAAGTAGTTAGTGAACCTGAGAGGAATGGAGAAAATGAGCCACAGCCATCTATTTTTCCCAACCAGTTTCTTGTTCGCCCGTTTTCCTTTCCACCTCATCTACCTCACAGTTGTCGCGGGGATAAATAAATTGTCCTTGATATGCAGTTTTGGCTTCCAGATTGGTTTGATTTCAAATAGGGTCCCTCACTGGGCCTTTGCAAGGCCACAGGCCCATCCAAGACTACATATCTCATATTGCTTTGCTTTATGTTTGTTGGTTTGTTTCTTCTGTTCGTTGTTTTTTTCTGAAGCTGCTGCCAATATGCCATGCCACTAAATCCACATTGCTAAATTTAGGGAGTCTTATCAATTTTACAACCAGCACATAGTCAATTACAGAATTCCCTGGCTTTACTTCTATTTCCTCTAACTGTTGGAGGGGGATAAAAAAAAAAAACTTCTCACGCTTCATCTACCAACTAATAAAATTTTAGTTTAGTTTAATTTACTTTATTGTCACTGCACCTCGTACAATGAAATTAAATGCCATCTTCAGTGTACATTATACATAAAAAATAAATCACAAACACACATCCTTTCATTCCATAACACAGGGCACAGTTATTTTTGTAACACGGGAACTCATTTAATACTAATTAAGCTTTTTAACCTTAGCTCCTTTTTCTTCCGTATCCCACTCAATGTTTTTACAGGTATATAATAGGAAAGAAAGGAGAAACCAGGAAAAAACTGGAGACAGAAACACGAACCTCCATCAGTATTCCCAAGCCAGGGGTGGAAGGAGAAATTGGTAAGATTTTGAGCTTGCAAAAAGGAATAGACTTCTGGATTTTCATACGCAGGTTACATAAAACTAAGAAATAATATGGTACTATGTAAAAAGAAAATTTTCTATTACCACTTATGAGATGAGCTACAAAAAGGAAATTAAAGAAAGAGGATTTGTTTTCCATTCCATGAAAAACAAAGGCTTGCCATAAACGGAGACAGTCTTTCAATTCACAGAAAAAGGGATCTTAATCAATGACAATGAAACAGCTGTAATCCAATGTGCACCCTCTACTTCCCCAATTCGTAAATTTACTTGCAGTAATTTTATCCCTTTTTCACTTCTTTTTCCTTCCTCCAGCCTACTATATTCACCAAAAGAAAAAAAAAGAAAGAAAGAAAATAATCTCTGATTTAAGATAACATTCTACCCAAAAGAATCCTCACAAACCAGCCATTCGTTTAGCAACGATTCGAAGTTATAGACAGTTCTCAATAAAAATAAAACTTTACGGCCAATTTACAACTTTGACAGCGCCTGGCAGTCATGTGGTCTCTATTATAGTCAATACTATTGACTATAGTCCAGGGGGTCTCCAACCTTGTCCACTTTAAGACTTGTGGATTTCAACTTCTGGGAGTTGATGTCTACAAGTCTTAAAGTGGACAAGGTTGGAGACCCCCGGACTGTAGGACAATAGGTATTGTCCTGTGTTTTTTCCATTTTTTCTTCTTCTCGCAAAGCAGAGAGACTGGGGAGGAAGGGATTTGTGGGCACACTGAGCTTACGCTTACAATATTCTCTTGAAATCTTTTCCCCTCCAATCTCTTCTGTTTCCAGGAGGGTGGGACAAAAAAGGCAAGATGTAGGCAATCTTTGCCTGATCTTACCCACCTACTCCGCAGAGCAGAGAGATTGGAGAGAAAGGGATTTCAAGAAAATAAATGTTGCTTTTGTACGCATCTAAAGCAATGTAATAATGCCATTAGCAGGAAAAGTGAACAGTATGTATGCTCTCTTAAATTTCTTGTAGGAAACACAAGACAATAGATCAAAGTTGGAATATGAAGATTAAAAAATAACATTCTTTCCTCTAACGTTGACTTACTCCTTCCTGGAGAAAAGCTCCTCGCTCCATGCCTATGTTGTCCTTTGTCAAGTTAGCAGCCATCTTGTCAATTGGGTTAGGAGTACAGCAAGTACCTGCTAGCTGCCTGCTATTCTTAGATTTCTGGGGGGAAATTAAAGCACATTAGCATAGATCCTGTCCTGTTAATTTTCCTTGCTTTCAGTGATCACAGGACAACATCGGAGCGGTGTTATTTCAGCACGGACACGAATCGATGTTCTCGTTGAAAGCTTTCGTAAAAAACAGCCCTTCACACATTTTCTATCATTTGCACTCAACCAGCCTGCAATCCAAGAGAGGTTTTTACAATTCAAAGAGGAAGTGTTGGAGAAATGTTCCCATGTAAGTTTTCATTATAATATTTGGAAAAAGTCGAGTGGGCAAAACGTAACTAAGCTTTCTTTTCAAGATCATTACAAAACAGAAAAAAACGTTTTAAGCCTGTTTGCTTGGCATATTGTTTCTTGTTCCTGTCTTACTTGTTCAATATTTTCGTTTTCTCTCAATCCTCATATCCATTTTTATTTTGGAATGAGAGTATGTTAGGTGAACCCTAATAGAAGTGCTGATAATTATTTTGCTTCCATGAGAGCCTTTGAGGATGGCATTTCCTGGATTGTATGTTTTAGCCCCTTGACAATAACAGCAGAAAATTAAGTTGTTAAGACAAGGACAATGTGAGGTGGAGAGTTAATTTGGTGTTGTGATTAAAGCACCTGGCTAGAGATTGAGATACTCTGTTCTAGTCTTACCTTAATAGCAACAGCACTTAGACTTACATACTGCTTCATAGTGCTTTACAGCTCTCTCTAAACAGTTTACAGAGTCAGCATACTGTCCCCAACAATCTGGGTCCTCATTTTACTGACCTTGAGACTGTGGCAATCAAACTGCTGGTAGTCAGCAGAATGCAATACTGCATTCTAATCACTGTGCCACCACTGCTCTTTTAAAGCACAAAGCCAGCTGAGTAATGTAGGGCCAGTCCTAGGAAAGAGGCAGTAGCAACTACATCAGAAAACATTGCCAAGAAAATTGCAGAGACTTTTCCTGATAGTCATCAGGAGTCAAGATTGACCGGAAGACCCAATGTACACTATTGTGGAATACTTTCTTTCTTTCTTGGTTGGTTGCTTGTTTTCTTCTATTTATATAGCTGCCTATCTTTGGATAGCTTGCAGCAATAAAAACAATACCAAGCAATGTAAAACCCATCAACGCACATAGCAGCCAAGAGACCAAACCAATATAAACGGCATAAACTACCAATACTCTTAACTCCATTCTCGGGCACCCAACCATGTCTTAAGATCTTCTGAAAGGCTGTCAGGGTTGGGGCCAATCTAAATTTAGGGCCAAACAAGGTTCCTCTGGGCAAACTGGATGATCATGACTCTCAAGGCCTGTGATTCATGGTCCTCCCACCTAAGGACCCTTGAGAGAAACCTAGGCCTATGTTCCCCCTTTATGTCTTAATATGGGTCTAGAACAACTCGCCACAACCAATTTGCTGTAGCCAACTCACCATGGCCAACTCATCGCAGAATGCAACTCGCCAAGGCCAACTCCGCCACAGGACAGTTCAATTTAATTATTTAAAATAGTTTAAAAGCATTTTAATTTTTGTCATTCAGATTTCATTTTGTCCTTCCTTTGGCATCCTTTCTTTCATGATTCTGTTCTGCTATTTCTTTGATATTAGTATAGCTCTTGTCCTATGGTGAGTTGGCCTGTGGTGAGTTGGCCATGGCGAATTGTCCCTTGGCGAGTTGGCCATTGGCAAATTAGCCATGGCGAATTGGCGGTAGTGAGTTGACCCTGGCAAATTGTCCCATTCCGTCTTAGTATAGTGGTTCTCAGCCTGTTGTCTTGCAGATCCTTGGGGGCACAATTTCACCACAGGGAGTCTGCGAAGGCTTGATATAGTGTAGTGTGGTGATGGCTATCCTTTTCATCGTCACGTGCTGAAAGTGCACACGCTTGCACCTGTGCCTGCACCCATAATGCAACACATGTGCCCCCAGCCCTCTGCGCATGCACACATGACCTCACTGTGTGTGCTGCACACCTCTGCACAGGCCCGCGTGACCCCTCCGTGTGCCGTGCGCACGTGCATATCGCCAGCATGCCCTGCCACCCATGCATGCACAGCAAATACCTGACAATAAGTTGGCTGTTGGGAGGCGCGCACGCATGCACAGTGCATCTCTAGACTTCCTGTCTTAGGAATGTCTCTGGAGTTTTTTTCCCCTCCTTTGCTGGTACTTTGCTTGTGTGGAGTGACCATTCAAAGTTTTTTCAAAGACACTGAAAAAAGTGACTTATGACCATTTTTCACATTTACGACTTGCAGCATCCCCACAGTCTTGAGAGGCCAGGCGAGGATATGTGTGCTTCGATGTGAGTGATATTGAGTGGGCCACGCCCAGCCAATAACATGACCACCAAGCCAAGTCCACCCAGTCACATGACTACCAAGCCACGCCCACCAACTAAGCCACACCCACAGAACCGGTTGTTAAAAAATTTGAATCCCACCCCTGGTCTGTGGCTGTGGTCTATGGTCAAGACAAGGTAGAGAGCCACAGTCTTAATAGATTTAACAACCTTGTGATGAAATGAAAATTAAGATTTGCTGGAGGACTTAACAGAGGCAGCATTAGAAGAAGCTTCTTTGTTTCTATTATAAGATAGTGATTAAGGAAACCAGAGTGGGCTTTTGATTTCCACTGCATTTGTAGCCTTACAATAATCTCTGTTTGCCAATAAAGAAATCTAGTCCTGCATCTTCCTCTAACGTGGATAGATATATACAATCCCAGTTAATATTGGAAATAAGAAATGAACAAGATTGAGAAGTGTAGAGGATATACTGAGAATTCCTCTTTTTTTTTAAATAAAGTTTTATCTGGGTTTTCACACATACAAAATACAAGTAAAACATCTTTTTTGAAAATAGCATGGTCCCGGGTTGAACTTCTTTATGCAGACACAAAACTCAATTTCATGCTCCTTTTTGTATTCTATTCCATATCTTATACTATTTTACATTTTCTATATAGTTTTTCCCCTCTTTTGATTTTCTTGATTTTAATTTGATTATCTCATCTCAATTCAAATCATTATATTTATACTTTTGTCTGTTCTGTTTCAATTTCATATTATCTTTTCTCATTAAACAAGTTTTCTCCTGTAGTTACTAATTGGAGTATGACACCTTTATATCTTTTAATTACATCCATTCAACTCTTATTTAAACTTCAATATATACCTTAAGGTTATGACCTTCAATATAATACATAATACATAACTTCCAATCAAATTCTGCTTGGTACATTCTTATAATACACACTATATTCTTTAAAGAAAAAAAAGATTGTAAATATATGTAATTATAAACCCTCATTCCGTTCCAGTTCAGTTCTATCATTAATAATCATTAAAATCTTATCATCTTTAACACTTCTTTTCAATTAAATGTCATACTTCCTTAAAAACACACATAATCTCCATAATTAATTTTTCCCTTATTTCTCTTCACATATGTTTTATAAATCATTAAATATACTTTTTATTACATTTATTTATTGACAAGCATTCCACTGAATTATGATAACTATTTTATCAGGCATTTTAATCATACATTGTTTCATATTTTCTAAAATTATTTCTGTTTCTAATATAACCACACTATCTTATGTATCTTTGCAGAATCCCCTTTTCCATTAAATTTTCACCCATTATCTCTAAATAGGCCCTGTTTCTCTGTATTTTGTTTCTGTCATTTATAACTTCTTTTCCTTTCTTTCATCCCTCTCATCTTCTCCCTCCCCTTTTTACCCCCTTGTCTCTCTAGTTCTAATTCTTTCTTCTGCATTTCCCTCTTCTGTTGCTTTCTGATTTTATACTTATTTTTCACTCTATTTTTTTTTGGAGTTGTTTTTCCCAATCTTAAACTTTCTATTCTCTTTCCCCCCTTTCCTTTTTTCCCCCCCACCTAAGATTACTTGTTCATTTAAAGATGGTTTCTTCTTTGTCGCAATCTTCTTGTTCTGCAGGCATTTCTTGTTGTTTCTCATAATTCCAAATCTCCATTTCTAAAAACTGAAATATGAAGCCAAAAAAACCTCTCCCTTCTTGTGCATCTTCTTTGTACTTTTTAAGTTCCATTTTCAGTTCTTCTAAAAGTAGAGCCATTTTAAACAGTTTTAAACAACCACCTGATTGATTTTAGTCATTCAAAACAATAACCAAGAATCCAGAAATCATCAAGTAATGCAGATAGTTCCGAGTTATATCTTCTTATTTCTTTTTCGACTTTCTCTTCCTGGGGTTTTTGTTGTGATATTTCAGTTGGAATGTATCTTTTGGAAGTCTTATTGAGATTTTGCTGTAAGTTCTTTTTTAATTCCAGGCAGTCTCCTCCCTTCCAGATCCTACCCTTTTATTCTTTTTCTCTCCTTTTCTGTTTTCAAAAGCTTTTAATTATGCAGAAATCTTTATTATCCCTTTGACTTTTTATTTTCAGCATTAAATGCCTATTGATGTCAAAGTGGATTTTTTTCCAATTACTTACTTAAGTCTCTTAGCTGTCAGTATAGGAAAAGGAGAAAAAAAAACCAAATCTTTTCCCTTTTCTCTCTCCTTCGCAGCTTAAAAATCTTCTCAGGGAACAATGTTATTGTTTTTTAACAGTTTCAATTCCAGGGTACCTTATTTGTTCCTTTTGCTGTTTGACCCGGTCAACCAAAACTTTCACTTCTTCCTCCTGCACATTCTGTTCCAGTCAAGTTCTTCTTTGTGGTGGCCCTTTCTGACCACTGCTACAACCGCCTTCGGGAAAGGGAGTAATGACCAGCTGAGGAGGAGAGATGCGGCTCTCCTCAACCCTGTAGGCAGTCTCCCCCCTGTTCACCACTACTACGGGATGGCTTAGCCCTGAAGCCAGCCGGCTCGGGGCGCTCCAGCAGCGAGCACAGTTCGAAGCCTCGCAGAGATGAGGTTTCGGTCTGTCGCTGAAGAAGCTCAAACCGGAAGCCCCATCGAGAATTCCTCTTAATTATTTCAGAGATGGACAGAAGGCGTTGAAGTACCTTAAGCCATAAGCCCCCAACCTTTTGGGTACCAGGGACCGATTCCGTGGAGAGAATTTTTTCTGCAGACCTGAGGGGGCATGGTCTCATGTGCTGCCTACATCCCATGGATGAGGCTTCACTTGTTTGCATGGCCCGGTTTCTGACATCATGTGAAGACATGATGGTGGGACCAGCAGTGGTATTCAGCAGGTTCTGACCAGTTCTGGAGAACCAGTAGCAGAAATTTTGAGTAGTTTGGAGAACCGG